TCTAAGAAAGAAGCTTCAAGACAAGGTCCCTCTTCCAGGGACCAGTTTTTAAAGGGAGGACCTCAGATGTCTCACTGCACAAAGTGATCAAGTACATACCACAGCCTCCTGGAGGCTGTCCAAAGCACCCCATGATCTTCCCACATTTTGCAATGTATATCAAGTATCTCTTCATGGACTGCATGAACAATTTACATTTCCAAACTGGAGCTGTGAGGGACAGACTGGAATAGCTGGGGCAAGGCCTTGCACTGCAAAATGTGCTCCTGCCTTAACTCTGTTAGTAATTATTAAATGTTTCTTCAGATAATTATGAAGTGAAAAATTATCAGTCTGAGCTTCATATCCCAATGTTGTCTATGTAAAAATATACAACGCCACACAATTGTGTAGTAGTTGCTTACTACTTACAACTTACTGGTTGCTTTTAAATTAACTTTTTATGCAATTAATTGCTTTTTCTCTGTATAAAAGTATATTTAGATCCTTTTCTCCATTTGAACTAGACTTATTTAGCTGAAGATCTGCTAAAAGATCATAATGTGGCAAAATAAAAGCAGATTACGGGGTTAGGAGGAGATGTCCTTTGGAATATTGAAAGTTGATGTCTAACCCAGAATTCTTTCACAGATTTAATAATGATTTAACATATCTTCCCATGACTGTGATAGCACCCACTATGTGGAACCAGCTGTATTTTTTTTAATATTTCCTTTCATATGTATATGGTTGAATTAACCATTTGTTATGCCTCTTATATTACTTGCAATTGCTAAAAGTGGTTTGATTCTTTTTTCTGTTTTTGAGACCTTGTCTGGTTGCTCAAGTACTATTAGAGAAAAAACAAAATATACATAATGAAAATGAATTAATTTTAATAATAAAACACCCCTAGCTATACCTGATAGTTTTTAAAATCAGTTTAAAAATCTCAAGGCCTAGAGACAATCAGTATGCTACCACAAATCTTGCCTCTCTTAGATTATTGTCCCTGGATAATTTATGTCCATAACAGACTAGAACAGAGAAAATATTAACCTGTCTTCAATCATGATAATTCAATGACACTCACAGTATTAGGCGAACACCTTCCTATTAAGAACTGCTAAAATCTAAAGGAAGGAATATTTAACTAATGATCTTCGCCGCCTGGTCAAGTTACTGTTCATTTTGTCTTCTTTGTTTCACACTAGACTGTTAACAAGTTCTGCATACACATTTCTGGTTCTCTCAAATAAACATTGCCTTTGCAAAGGCAAATATCTTCGAGATGTGGTATCTCCTTAGACATTAAAAAATGGCATAGCTGTAGTCACTTAAAATATTAGTTCTAGTTCCTACTGCATTCATCTTTGACCTACACCAAGGGCAGGGAGGAGAATGCTAATATGACATTGATTTTTTTGATTTATTCAATCCTTTCATAAGGTAGAATGGTCTGTCAGACTTTCTTACTAAAGAGAGAATATGGATTGAGTATACCTGGCTTGGACATCTTTCTCCTTGGTCAAGTATTAGGCCTTCACTAACTGATACCAAGATCTGAGGTATGCATTAAATCTGAGAGGTATTTTTTTCTGTGAGAACAGTGCAGAGTGACCAGAATGTAACAATGCATTCTTTTTTGTACCACTTCAAGGTGTACAATTTTATTGCCCATCTTCTATATTTGATGGCTTATAATTACTCTTACAAATCATGTCTTGGGCCTACAACAGTAAATATGTGGAACAATATTTGCTTCCTTACCATATTTTTATTTCTCTCAGCATGCAGTCCTTGGCCCAGGTCAAACTCTTAGGTGGTGTTTGACATATCTGTCTTCATGAAAACTCTCTCTTGTCTTCCTGTGCTTATTTCTTGCATTTTGAACTATGTCTGTTCTAGTTTTGCATACCCTGAGCTTTGGAAGGATCTGAATGAGGAAGATTTTGGCAAATATTTCACTTCTAGTTGCTTTCAGTGTGAGAAAGACCAGTGAGAAGGACCATAACTTTCCTTTTCTTTCAGTTACATTTCATAGACACATTTATGATGTTATTCATCAAATAACAACCTCTTTCTTCACCTCCACTATCATTCTATGTTGCCTAGCAATTCATATTAATTACATTGTTTTCTGTAATTCTTTTAAGCAAAACAGTGGAGCCAATAAATATACAACCGAAGATATATACAAGTCTAAAAAAAGAAGTTGATGCTAGCACTTAAGCCCAAAAAATCAAAACAAGTCTCACTCTCCTGATTTTTTAATTTCAGATTAAAAAAAAAAGCAAATTGTTAGGCAAAAAATAGATAATACATTATATTACAACTCTCAAATCAGGGGCTGGGGATTTGATTTACCTTTTTCTCAAATCTCAGGTAAGTGAAACATAATCAACTTTTATCTGCCAGTATTTTAGAAAATATACCGACAAAATGGGTAGCACAAACTGGTCTTTGAAATACCCATTTATCTTGTATGCAGAGTAAAGACAAATATAAAACAGTCATTAGCAACATACAGAAATAGCTTCAAAATCTTAGGCCATAATCAAAGATTTATTTCAAAATATATTTTGACTCTGATAAAACAATGGTTAAGAATATACAAACAAGACTGCATAGTTGTTATAGCTGATATTATACATATAATTTCAGGGTCTCAGAAATCAATAGAAAAAAAATCTTTAATTAAGACATCCTTTAGCTCTAGTCCATAATAACTGCCTTACAAACTGCTTCTAGCAAAGGAGAACATTTCTCTAAAGCGTAGAAACATTAAATTTCTGGATTATTTCTTACATTTCTGATTGTCAATGCCATACTATTTTTTTGCCTCTGAAGTCAGGAAACAAGTAAGAAGTAAAACCAAAAAGAGGAATAAAAATGTTGAGAATTGCGGGAATTGAAAAATGCCAGATATTTCTATGCTAGTGTTTAATAAAACATGTGTATAAAATCAGACAACAAACAAAAGAACACTTTTGCTTGCTATTATGAGAAAACATAAGAAATGCAATACTGCTTGACTGCTACTGGCTTTTAATTTACACCAAAACTGCGAATGAAACTGGCTTTACTCCGCACAGTGTATAATATATGGATATATTTACACATCTACTATATTTCTGATGCTCAAAACATTGTGATACTATGCTGCAGCTAACAAGGCCTGAGGATAATGACTAAGATGAGTTTTTAGGTGGATAGTGACATTTCTTCTATTTCATACATCTGTGTATGGCACGTGTGTATCTGGACCCTAAATTCTAATGAAGCTGCAGCTATACTTCATGTCCCTTTTTATAATGTTTCTGTCCCACAGCTCCCTAGAAATGTCCTGTTTGGGTAAAATTACTTTTCTTTCACTTGGTAGAAGAGACTCAACAAGCCAGTTAGGTTGCATGGATTGGCCCTTGACATTATATGGAAATGAAATAAGGGGGTTTCACATGGTCACTGACAGCTCAGATTTCTGGAAATTTTAATGTTCACCTATCCTCTCTTTCTAAACCTCTCACTCTCACTTATGTTTCATGATACTACAGTGTGTAAAATTTCTTGCTTGCAAACTTCTCTTTTGAACAGCTGTTTTGTCAGCCACAAGCTAATTTTTCTTTACTGAATATACAGCCAATCCCTCACCTCTTCCTCTCTCTCATATACTGAGCCTATGGTCATGTCGCAATTTGAGCTTAACAAAACTGAATGTAAACCCTTTTTTCATCCACAAGCTCTCATTTCCTTCTTCTTTGCCTGTCTGTAAAGCAAATGCCCCAATGTATCCAACCCAAATATCTTTTTCAGTTTTCTCTCCTTCTTGTGCAGCAAATTCAGGTAATTTCTCTCCATTCTCAGCATATGCCAGGGTCACCCTCTCCTCTACTCACTATCTGCCAGAGTCACCGTCTCCTCTACTCACTATCTGCCAGGTTTCTGCCCCTGGTGTGTGTTACATCACAATGTGTTTTCTGCCCAGTTTGCCTTTCTGGACTTTGTTATGGACATATGCCAACTACTATTGCTCAGGCTATGTTTCTCATTTGCTGATGTGAACTCTGATTTCACTACTTTGCTCAGCTGACCTCTTCCCTGGTATGGCCTCTCCAGTTTCCCATTTACTATAATAACAAATTCTGTTATCTTTTAAGCACCTCAGTAATTTTGCACATCCTTATTGTCCCTGGTTAAGGTTCATTCTGATCCTTTCTTCCTTATGCCATCATTCCTAGCCTTAACTCCTAGTTTCATACCTTCATTCACATTTGTCTCTGATTTTTATTATACTGACAGTTTTATTTAACTGGCAGTGCTAATTACTATTCATTACAGAAAGTTCCCACCCTGTAACCTGTAACTCTTTAATTCCCATCTTATTTACTCGGACTCAAACAACTTTTTTCTTCCCGTTTCATAAAGAACTCGCTTCTACCAATCTCTCTCTATTTTTCTACCTTTTGGCCAGTACTTTTTGTCCTTGGAGAGGACCTTACATGTCAAGGATTTGCATGTAAACAATACTGTTAGAAGGCAAATGAAGGCCTCTTCTGAGCACTTCTCTGAGGAAGTCACAAGCAAAACTAATTGATTTGGTCTCATTGTCATTTAAAGGACATCCTTTTGACATGTTCAAAGTGATCCCTGAACTGCACTCCAAAGGAAAGACAGGAAATTGTACAGACGTGCCCATGCTACCAAGGTCAAGGCCTTTGCTCCAAGCTACCTAGATCAAGCAGCTACAGAGTCTAGCATGGGGTTACAAAGCAGTCTGAATGAGGGAAACAGTTTTCATGAAACGAAGTTGAACATCAAGAACTGTTTGCTCTCTAAGGACAGTGGATTCATGCAGAAATATATTGAGCTTATGGAGTCTTCTGAATTCTTTTGTGTTCAGTGACATCTCCCACAGGATTCAGACACTACTAGATTATTTCATATAAACTCATACGGCATTTTCCACAGTTAAAACATCCCATTAACCTGTAAACTTAAGGAGTTATGATAAAACGGCTTACCTTTTCTTGATATTGTCGTCGTGAGGAATCCAGAGACTGAATGAGGGCAGTGGCATGACCAACAAACATGGCATAACAAGTAGCCCCCACAATCATGCTCAACATGGTTATCCACAGGTCGGACATGCTGACAGGGGCGCGGGCTCCATAACCAATGCAGAGCATATGGCTCATGGCTTTGAAGAGTGCATAGGAATACTGCTTTCCCCAGGAATCATTCTGCAAGAAAAGAGACAGGTGGCTGAGCCTGCAAGCAGCTGAAGGCAGAAATACACTTGTACCTGTATAGTGGGATCATAGATTGCTGGCTCTGAAAAAAGGGCCTGTTGATGTATCCTATATGCTTTAGAAGAGATATTCCTTCTAAATTAATCATTAGATAAAGTGTCAGATATTCTGACAGATAGCACACTGATATGAAATAAAACTGACTATTTGTAATACGTGATTGTATTCTTAAACATGGGTGTTAACCTAATTAAAAGGAGACTAAAGGTCAATTTTATTTTACAGTCCGTGGTGGATGGAGTAGAAAAAGCTGAGCAGGCAGACTTACCAAGCACAATAAGGCAGTATTGTGAACATATTCCTCTGGCCTATGTTATTTCTTTCTTTTTGGAACTCTCAATTTTAATACACAATCACATTCACGTTACTAGCTGTTTCACTTTTCAAGGACAGAAAAAAAGCGTATTATTTGTTGTGATGTCTACTTATCCTGATTTTTTCCTGTAATATTGTGTTTATACCAGAATAATCTCAACTGAAAAGATGTCTGATTATTCTGCATCATCTGTGTTCATACCCACATTCTGCGCAACTCAGCCCCCTCCCCGCCCCGAAAAAGGTGAATACCTAAGCCCTGCATTTCTGATGTGTAGCTACCCTTTTCCATTCTTTCTGTGAGATTAGAAGGAGACGACACTTCACTCACAAGCTTTTAAAACTGCAAAGGTGTTGGCAGAAAGTCAAAGAGGCTGTTCCCAGAGAAAAACAGACACCTTAACACATTCCCAAAAGCCCTGGGACTCCTTGTCATGTTTTTGTATTTTTCTTGCCAAAGGAATGAAAAAGAATAGGGAAACAAACTGTGCTTGCAGGCATGCAGCACACATGAGAAAACACTGAATTTTTCACAGAAAGGACTGAGAACAATTTTAAAAAATAACAAAGTGAAGAAGAAAGAACTGGAATGACATTTGAAAGATTAGATAGCTATACAATACAGCGTATAATATACAAGACTAAAAATAATAATCCTGCTAGCATGAACAAATCTCCAAATCACCAGTACCATTTATATATAAAATTTACATATGAAATACCAATATTTATGTCCCTCTTCCACCGATATAAGCTTTACTCAAATGCTCTTACTTCTAAAAGAGCTTCAGGCTTGCCCTCTTGCCAAGGTTACTAACTACCTTTGTGCTTTACATTTATTAAAATGCTCTTTCTAGATCCCTAATTATCCTAAATAACTGGTAACAGAAAATAAGCAGCCAGTAGTTGTATTGAAGATGATATAGTAACTATTTATTCACTTGGGCAATAATTTACTAATTACTGGCTCCTCTGTACTTGTTTCACTTTGTAAGTTAGATCTTTTTGGATTTGTGAGCTGTTGCTATCTTCACAAGTCAAAATTTTGTGTCATAAATACATCTAAAGAATAGGTTTTGACCATCTATACTTAAAAAATTTTTTAAAAGAAAATTGTCTTAAATTGCTGGGAATCAGGTAGGTTTCCATAAGTAATAAGGAAATAAATTTCCTACTGCTTAAGACCTTTAAAAATACTCAGCAAATGAAAGAGCCACAGAAACTTCTTGCCTTCTGAATCACTGTAGGTATTTTAATGCAAATTCCCCAAGACTCATATCAACTTCTCTAGTATTTATATCTTTATATAGATTTTATTGGGAAAACCAACAAAATGAGTGCTAGAAGAAACATGTCTAGGTTTTTTTAAGGCTACAAAGTAGCATTATTAAAGTCACACTATTCATGAAGCTGTAAGATCAAACTGTCTGTTCTTGCAGAGCTCTTTACAGTGGATCTTGCTCCTTAACTGTATTTTTTAGTTATATTATAAATATTAACAAAAAAAAAAAAAAGCTGACCTTGATCCTCCCTATGAATATCCTCCCTATTGTTCCTTTGGTGTGTTAAATCTCAATTATAATATTTCCTATAAAATTATATTTTTACATCAAAGTCTTAGAGTAATTCAAACACTGGTGGATTTCATTTCATGACTGAGGTACTTCCCAAGTCTGTGAATCACAGCTTTGAGTAAAATACCATCATCTCAAGAAAGAATAAGAAAATGGAAGTGAAGAAGCAGGAAGAAACAAAATAGAAAGAGTGTTTCCTCCTAAAAGGATAACAAGACAAGTGGAAAATAAATTAAACTCTACCTAAGAAGTAGTACCATGAGGGAATAAATGAGCTGTAATGACAGAAGAAAAAAACTGGAAATGTACAACAAAATAAACAAACATGTTTGTTTGTTTACATAGCTACCTTTATATGTGTGTATGTATATATAAGCCAAAGTGTGATCCAGCACCTCAGACAGTCATGACTGAATCTGAATCTGAATCCAAAGTGGAGGTCAAAGCTATCTCAAATGGTCAGTTTGTTATACAAGCAGCATCAGCTGTTATTGTGTAGTTTGTTAGAGACTTTGTTACAGCCTAGGCACATTTCGGACATTTGTGAAGGGATGATCCTGAACAGCTGGTTCTCAGATAGGTATAAAGGCTTTAGAAGAAGGAGAAAAAAAGCCCCAAAAACTGATGAAAAAGCATTTGAATTCAACTTTGATTTGTCTGAGGATCTTGATGCTGAAAATACTTGCCCATGCTTTTTTGTTTCTTTTCCTTAATAATGGATGGGTTCTCATACAAGCAGTTGCAAACACTGGTCTATTTAGTTTGTATGGGGATTTTTTTTTAAATCATATTCAGCAAATACCATTGTGGAGGGTACAAATTTCACTACAGTTACTTGTGTTGTTCAATGACTTATTCCATATGTAAACCACTTAAAACCCCATTGATTCTAATATCAAATCTATACGTCATGTATGTTACAAACAATGTTAGTAAATGAAATAATAATTATTTAATTTTTTTCCTATCTGTGTTGTATAACCTAAGGGTTTGCCAGGAGTAACTCTAATTTTGTTTCATTGTGAGAGGTTGGAATTTTCCACAATCCTGTTCCCGTATGCTGCTCTTTGCTGTACAAAAGTGAGGTGTGGCCATTCCTCTGCTACTAGCCTACAGTGATATTTTATTTTTTTAATAAGAAACAGTTTTGCAACTGCATCATAAGGAGATTTTTGCATAATACATTCACAGATAATATTCCTGAGTTAATAAAAGCCTATTCTATAAAATAAAATATCTTGTGTTTACACAGTCAGCTTTTCTTTAATATAACCCTAAATATTAATATTTATATAAATACACATTAAATGTTTCAGTCATTTTCTGGTTTTAATGTATAGGGGTTTTTTTGAGTTTTATTTAAAGCAAACCACAAACTTCTACAAGCTGAAAAAATCAACTCCTAATTAATAAAAAAGGGAATTTAATTTCTTAGTTGACAATGGGTTGGTCACTGTTTCCAGATTAGCAGTAACTGGTTTAAAAAGTTTTAAATGTAATGACATTAATTTGAAAAAAACTATTAAAGACTGTAATTGTGAGAAATACCAAAGCTATTTATCCAAGGTTTGATTACATAATCTAGCTTGATTACATTAGGAAATCCTCACATTTATGAAAGCAGTGGTCACTGATCATTTGCAATTAGTTCTCTAAGTATATATATCTCAACTTTGCAGTTATCCTGAAGAATATATTAATTATAAGGGACTTCTGATTCTTAAAAATCTGTTTCTCAGACTTTTCCTTCACTGTAGAATGCTATGGTTTGTCCCATAATTTCATACAAGACTGCTACAAATATCTGTTTGTAATATTAACTTTTCAGCTTCCTTTTCAGCAGGGAAATAAATCACAGAAAGATCACATGGCACCTTCTAAGGGACAACAATAAAAGGCAAATTATTTTTCTCAGTGGATTAAGAAGGGGTTTGTATTTTACTGTAGTCAGTGGAGGTTTTCATCAGGAAATTTTTTCCACTCCCATATTGTAGTCATTCCCTCAGGCACAGCTTATCTTCGCTTAGCCATATCCTTGCACTGAGACATAAATTGATTTAGAAATCTCGTACCAAGGAAACTATTGCAAACAGTAATCGTTTCCTCATTTTTGCTTCAGTTCCTTTTTTCTTTCACATCACAGTCACTGCAGGTGTCACAGAAATGGTCCTGTCAGTTTGCAAGGGCATGCTTTACAGTCAGGCAGCAAAGACTGACTTAATTATTAAGTGAAATGGTTTCTACAAGGATCTTGAACTCATTCTCACTTTATCTTTCAAAATTGTGGTAAAAATGTGAAAGTGAAGTAGCTTGTCCAAAACAGCTTGCCTTGTTATCACTCAGACACATACCATTGTCCTAGGGTTCTTCTGAAAGTAAGTGATATCTGAAGGAAGGAAGATTTCCCAGGATATAGGTAGTTATGGGCTATTCTAGTAAATTAAAAAGTAGTAAAAAGCACTTCCAAGCTCTAGAACTTGGTTCACATGGCTTCACGGTTAGAAATGCCCCTGGTGTGTGGCATGGTGGCCACATAACACTCTCCCAAACAACAGCAGGTCTACTTTAGATTGGATGTAAGGTGAGGAACCATTCCTTGTAGGCAGCTGGCATGAGCTTGTCCTGTGCTGAAACCCAACCAAGATTAATACTATGGACAGAGTAGGTAGCTCCTAAACCAGTCCTACCCTGGTGTCCATCACAAGTGGAGATAATTTATGACTGTGGAGGCAGCTTGACATTCTGTAAGTAAGCCCTCTGGTTTAAGCATTGTCACAGGAAGTTACTGCACAAAATAAATGTAAAATTAGGGGTGGGACTTCAGAAGTTGAAGAAAGCACAAAGCAGTAATCTAGATACACATTTTGATATAGATTTATAGTTTATATACTTTTCCATCAGTAGGTTGCATAATTTTCTACCTCTGGTATCATACATTACCTTAGAATTACACATTAGTTAAAATCTCAGACAGGAAAAGGCAGCAAAATTTCATCTCAGCATTTCATCTTTTAAAGAAGTTGTTTCAATTCCACAACGAAT